TCTTAAAACAAAACCTCAAAGGGATTATGAATCACCTGTATACATCATGCCTTTTGCTGACCCTTACCCAAAAAGGCCCTATAAAACATCAGACCCTAAATCCTTAGGCAAACCTCCTCTCTGAGGTTGCCCACACACTCACTTTTCTTTGAGTGTGTCACTCTCTCTGTTCTACTCCGGAGTAAGGAGGGGCTGCTGAGAACTCTGATTTGGACTTGCAAGTCCCCATAGCCTGGGTGACATGGATGGAACTGCAACTGTACGATCATGTTCCTTGGTAGCCTGCCTGCAAATCTCCTTTCTGTGCCTTTGGGAAGTTCTCAGAACATCATCTCACTCCATCCAGTGCTCTGTGGCTCCCCCAAATCCTGGGGAGGTAGGGACTTAGTTTCCATGCTGAGCAGATTCAAGCAGACACTGGATGCCAGGTGACCCTGGCTTTAGGAGCTGGCAAGGGATCTGCCCCAGTGCTGAGCAGGGGTTCAACAAGCTTCCCTTTCTTCCTTCTGTTTTTCCTTCCTCTCTACTTTATTCAAGTAAACCTGCCTTTGTCTACCTTGACGGGCCCCTCCTCCTTTGGAGTGTATTTAAATAAAACCTTAACTCTGCTTCACTACTGTGTCTCTGCCCTTCAATTCTTTGTTGCAGCAGAGACAAGAACCAAGGACAAACTCAACCCCCCACACTTTCAGACCTACTGGTTTTGTCATCAGATAGACTGTAAGTTGATAATGGACACTGGAAATGTCAGGCTATACCCTGTTCATCATTTCACCATCAGGGCTCCTTCTGTCCTACCTCAAGTCCCGTTTTTGTTAACCATCCCACCACCCATTTCCTTCTGATGTTGAACTGGTACTCTGGAGACTGGCAACCTCAATAGAAAGAATGTCTCTTTTCCAGTATCTGTAGCAAAATGTCCATGTCTAACTCTCCTTGGCCCATCCTAGGTCACTCTGTGCTGCAACCTTGACTGTGGATAGGAGAATGAAATTCTCTCAGTTACCATAGGCTGGCATCAGCCTCATCTGAACTTCATAGATTACAGATAAAGGAGGAACAAGGAGGCAAAAATGCAGGTCCACTATTCCACCTTTCATTATTAGATTATACTTACAAGCATGTCAGGGTTCCTGGCCATCAGTACCCTTATGTTTCTATCTAGTAAATATCCTGGATTTCATGCCTCAAAAACTAAGATAACCTGCAAATTCCTTAAAGCAAACCTTGGGTTGGAAGAACACTTGCTAAGTATATGTCCCCACATCCTCCCACCATTCTCCACCTCTGCCAAGGCACATAGCCCCTCTTCTTGGTCTCCTTCCACAGTTATCCATCAAGCCCACAGTACACTGAGAAACAAGACATACACTTCAGTTCCACCCAGCCTTGTAACAACTGAAGACGGAAGTAGCACAGCTAACTTCAGGATAAATAAAGGGATTCCTAAGGCCATAAGTGCAGCATGACATATTAGCAAGCACATTGCCCTAGGACAAAAAGGAGCTTCCCACCCAGGCTGAATCACCAGCTTACTGTTTGGAAAAATTTATTTGATGCAAATGAAAAACCAAACATTTGTGAATCAGCTAAACAAGAAGCTCAGGGGGAAAAGCTTCTGGGACTTGTAAAATAAAAAAGACTGTATTCTCCATGGGATTTAGAGGATTGGAAATATATCAGGATTTGGGACATGCACACATCTGGTGTGTTGCTGGGACACTTGGATACTTAGCAAACACTTGACTCGTGTGAGGCTTTTGTTTCTGGGACTTGCTCTTCTCCCGTTGGAAAGCCTTTCCCCTAATGTCAGAAGGACATATTGGAACCACCAATCCGACCTCCAAAGCAAAGATCTATGTGCCCCTCTCTGTCTACCTTCATGCCCCATTTGATTACCTACAACTGTCTGCAATGGTCAGTTTACAGGTTTTCCTTATTCTACTTTTATAAGAATAAATATTTTATATTAGGACAATATTAGATTTATACAACAGTTACAAAATTAATACAAAGACTTCCTATAGACCTCTTACCTAGTTTCCCCTAATGCTGACACCTTACATTATTATGGCATAGCTGTCAATACTAAGAAACTAACATTAGTACATTACTATTGTGGGTAAAATTGTAATATTTCCAGAAGATTTTGCCTGGCTTTAGTACATATGCCTATCAACAGATGCTCAAGGGTGGAGAGAAGTATGGCTTTAGTGCATTTGCATCATTCCTCAGGGATGGAGAGAAGTTCATCTCCATATCAGTCAGTAATTCCTTAGGGAATGGAGGGCTTTTCTGTACCTGAGAGGTGAGGGGAGGGGTGGTTTTGCTTCTGCTGGAGCAGGAGAGAGAGACGGCCATGGACTGTAGTTTGTAAGCAGTAAGTGGATTTTAAACTTTATTTCTCCCTTTGACTGATTTTGATTTTTAGAGGTATTTTGTCCCAGGATTTCCTTTCTCTGGACTTACATCTGGTGCACTTGGCAGGATTCCTTTGAACCCAAAATCTGTCATAATGGGTGTGACCTTTGGGAGGGCTGCCCCTAGAAATGATGGGGAGAAGTAGAGCTCATGCCGAGGGATGTGTGTCTACACTCGTGTTGTCATGGAGGTGCCACCACTGCTGCTGGCCATGCTGACCCTGGCCTGTGGCCCGAGCCTAAGGCTACTGCTTCTGCCACTGCTGCTGCTTCTGCTGCCGGCCAGAGCCTGTTCACAACTGTGGAAAGAAGCAGACGTCCGGTACATCTTGATAGTGAAGCAGCTGGCTGCTGTGTACCTCACCTTCCTGGCTATTGAGCCCATCGCCAGAACAGCTCCAACCAAGGTAATAACCACCTATCCCATTGCAGGGTGGGTGAGAGACTGGACCCAAAGGCCACAGAGTGGTGTGGCACAGACACCTACCGTATATCATGTGACTGGCCATTTGCCTTTGGTATCCCGAGGGAATGATGAAGCAGACACATTGGCCCAGGTGTGTTAGCTAGAAGGAAAGCTTGCCTCTGATGTGGCCCAACGGCTACATACATCAGCATTTGTTGCACATGGGGCAAAAGACAATGTGGGCTGTAGCCCATCAGTCGAGCTTGCCATTGATCTTTGAAGAAGTCAGCTGAGCCCGGAAGGAGTGCCCTGTATGTTATGTAGATCAGCAAACCACCAAGAGGGAACTAGAGCATCTCTTTGCAGCATATGGCTGGTTGCCAGTGATTGAGAGCCATCAAGGCACCCACTTTATTGAACATTCATTGCAAGGATGGGTACAGCAATTAGGAATAATATGGACATGACCCTGGACATTTTGACACATGGACCAGTGATGGTTGGCCTTTCTGGCACCTTGGGGAAAAGGCCTGGAAGGTGGCCTCCTGTGTATTCTTGGAGTAACAGCAGAGTGACCCTGCCTCCCCCAAATCATGGTTACTTGCTTCTACAGTCCTTGTGGCCTGGATGCGCCCCCTGGCTGCAGCTGCTGCGTGATGGCTGGAATGGACAAGCTTTGGACTTAACCTGCATTGGACTTTATACCTAGCTGAATCCTCTGCCTTGAGAATTATGATTGTATTGCTGTTGTCAAGAAAAAAATGCTTAAAGAGAGGCTTGACTTTGTCTAATATTTGGTAAAAGTTTTGTGAGTAATCTAGCATGGTTCTTAGGAATGAGTTAACAAGTGTAGAAACATATTTTGTGCTTAATGAGAGATTGTGCTTTAAAGTACATTTACTTTATCTGCATAGGCTGAACCCACTGGCTTGAGAATTATCATGATTGCTGTTGCTACTGTATGTCATTAGTTTGGTTGGAGAGGGGAAATGAGTAAATTGTAAGGCAAGATTTCTGGAGGGGTAGCCTGTGGGTAAAATTGTGATATTTCCAGAATATCTTGCCTGGCTTTAGTACATATGCATATCAGCAGGTGCTCAAGGGTGGAGAGAAGTATGGCTTTAGTACATTTGCATCATTCCTCAGGGGTGGAGAGAAGTTCATCTCCATATCAATGAGTAATTACCTGGGTAACAGAGGGCTTATCTATACTTGAGAGGTGGGGAGGGCGGGTTGTGGTTTTGCTTCTGCTGGAGCAGGAGAGAGAGACGGCCATGGACTGCAGTTTGTAAGCAATAAGTGGATTTTAAACTTTATTTCTCCCTTTGCCTGATTTCAGTTTTTAGAGGTATTTTGCCCTGGGATTTCCTTTCCCTGGAGTTACAACTATTAACTGTAGTGTAGACTTGTTCAGATTTGACCAATTTTTACACAAAAGTATTTTTTTCTGTTCTAGAACCTAATCCAGGATACAAAATTGCATTTAGTGATCATACCTCCTTTGTCCCCCCTGGTCTGTGACACTGTCTAAGACTTTTCTTACTTTTCATGCCTTGACAGTTTTGAGGGGTATCTGAAATCAGGTATTTTGTGGAATTCCCTCAATCTGAGTTTGCCTTATGTTTAGCCTCATGTTTAGGCTAAAGTTATGGATTTAGGGAAAGCATTCCATAAAACTGAAGTGCCCTCTTATCACATCAAATCAGGAGGTATTTATTATAAGCATGACCTATTGCTGGTATCTTATAGTCTATTTGGGCTCTTTTAACAAAATACCATAGACTGGGTAGCTTATAGGCAACAAAAATTATTTTTTAATGATTTAAAATTATTTAACAGTTTTGGAAGCTGAAAGCCCAAGATCAGGTGTTGGGAAATCCTGCATACAGGTAGGGCCACTTCCTGGTTCTTAAGACAGCTGTCTGCTCACATCAAGGGGTCTGTCTGGGGTCTTACAAGGGCACTAATTCTATTCATGAAAGCTCCGCCCTTATGACCTAATCACCTCCCAAATACCACCACACTGAGGATTAGATTTCAATATATGAATTTGTGGTGTATACAAACATTTACTAGAGCAGCTAGTAATATTAATCATTTGGTTAAGTAAGTGTTCGTCATGTTTCTTTTTGACAAAGTGACTGTTTTTTCCTTTTCCATATTCTACTTTTCAGATGTGAATCACTAAATACAGACCACATTCAAGGGGTTGGAATTGGCTACTTTCACTTTTGATCCAATGCAAATCCATTTTACACACTGGGGGAACTTGAAGAAAAAAAACAACAGATCAAGCAACTCTCTTACCTAACACCTTTTAATGGCTTCCTACTGTCTTCAAGAGAAATTCTTACTCATTTTGCATCATACACATGGAGGCTGCTGTAGAATCCCCTGGAGGTAAATACCCTTATTAACATTCCTATAGATGTAGTTTTTCTTCATAGAGGTAATTATAAATTATCATGACTTATAATTCTGTATTTATTTAATTAATGTCTGCATCCTCCTTGAATCTATAAGCATCCATGTGGCCAGGGTCTGTGTACATTCATCACTCATATCGTTAGTTCCTAGCACAAGCAGGATTCTTGAATTGCATAGGCAGCAGAAACCAACCCCAGATGACAAAGCTGAAACAGGTTGTTAAAAGTTAGGGGCTCACCATCCATAGTATTATTGAGAGTAATGGTGCTGGAGAATTATGCTCAGGTCTGAACTTCCAGAAAAAAATGCTCCAAAAACCATGCTCAAGAAGTGGGATGACAGGGGCACTTCTGTCCCCACTGCTGCCCTACTGAGTACTCTTCAGAGAAAACCACCAGGCTAGACTTTAAAATACTCCCGCCACCAAAAGCTGGATGTCTCTGAGACTGTACTTGCTAGCGACGGGGATTCTGAGTGGCGCTTTCGTCCATACCTACTGACTTCCCACTCAAAGGTTAGTAAGGGTAAGTCTCATTAGTACAGCCAGATGACCTGCTTGTGACCCATTTTCAGAGAGACCTGGGAATTGAATTCTTTCCATGCTACCTTGGTGAGACAGGATTTGGAAAGCTAGAAATCTCTGAAAATATGTGGGAATTCAAAAGGTCCTAGGTACCAAGAAAGTTTGAAAAAAGTCCCATTCACTAACATGTGTTTGATTCTCAGTAAATACCTGCCAAAGAAAGGAAGGATTATAGGATTGCCAGCTTTAGCAAATAAAAATATAGAACACCCCGTTCAATTTGAATTTCCGATGAATAATGAAATGAATTTTTAAAAATAGGTATATGTTTCCTGAAATATTTGGAACACAGTTATACTAATGTTTATTTGTTGTCTATCTGAAATTCGAATTTAATTAGGTGATCTGTATTTTTTCTTGCAACTCTAGGAAAGAAGGAAGAAAGGAGGGAGGGAGGAAAGGGGAGGGAAGAAGATACGCATCAGGCTGCCTGAAGTTGGTGACATTAGATTTTTGATTTATCTGACTTTTACCAAGAGAACATCTGTCTATAATTTGACATTTCATGAGGAATTAGCCACTGGGAAAGAATAAACTGGTCAGACTGCCTGGAATTTCTCACTGCTAAGTGACAAATTGGCTTGTGACTAAGATGTGGTGTACCCTGTACAGGGAAGGAATGTACTGAGTTCGGGACAGTTTCTTTTTGGCAAAGTGACTGCTTTATGGACTTGTGACAGTTAGATTTTGTGATATAAATTAATAAGTTAAAATTCCAATTTTATGCCCCATTCCCAAGAATTTAATTACTGTGATTTAATGACTTGAGGAATGAAATTGCTCTCCACGGGTTTGCTCACTGTGGGGAATGCAAGGCTCTATAATTATGTTGGCCACGTTTTATTTCTTAAACGGACTGGTAGGCATGTGAGTGAAATTATTTTATTCTTTGTAACATTTTGTACATAAAAATATTTTAAAGGTATTGTCAAACAAAATGAAATAAAAGCAGAGTGGTTGTAATGGATGAAGAATGGATCTGCTTTTAGAAGACACTTGCTTCAGCCCCGATTAACCACTGTTTGATTTCCTTCAACGTTATATTCCAACAACATTGAGTTAAGGAGATGGTTTCCAGTTTTATCACATGTTATGCTATTTCTTTACATTTGCGTGCCTTATGCTTTGCCTTTTTTCTTGGGAAGTCTTCCTTTAGCCTTTCCTCCAGCCACTCCTCCTTGCTTTTTTAAAAGACAACCCAGAGTCATCATACAGGACCACTCAGGAATTGTTTTTTCCTGTCTACTGGCAAGCCTTCTTTTTCTGTCTCCCCTCCTGCAGTTGCTGGAGTACAGCCTACTTCCATTCCTGCCTTAGTTCTCTCTCTCCACTCAGTGGTGTTAGGTCCTCATAGCACACCACATTGTGCTACGATTATCTTTTTATAGGTCTGTTTGGCCACCAATTAGAAACTCCTCAAGAGAAGGAAGTGAACTTTATTCATTCCTCTGCCTCCTGAACTTAGCAATATGCCCAACCCATGTGTACCCAACTAAACTGAAATGTCTTAATTTACTCCTCTATAAAGTTGCTACACATATGCACACAGTAGCCTACAATAAAATTCCAGCCACATATCAGCTGCTTCAAGCAAAGCTCGCTTCTCTATATTCTCAAAGCGTCAAGGCTAACTCAACTTCCTGCTTTTAACAGTGAGAAAACTAAGGCCCAGAGAGGGAGAGTAACCTGCAAGGACATGCAGGAGTTGGGGCCTGGTTCAGAGCCAGAGCCAGATGCCTTCCAGTGCTGCCTGTTGCCAGTTGTCAAACTTTCAAGCTTCCCTAACTCTTCGGGGATTAGGTGGAAGTGTCTCTCCCTGGCACAGCGCCTCAGGCAAACAGGGTCAGACCTCCGAAGAGCAGCTTGCGGAGTGTCCATAGTAAATGGCCATTAATGCAACATTTTCATTCTTGCCAGTGCCTCCCTGGAAATCCAATTCTGCTTCATTTTGGTCAAAAGTCTTGTTGGCACACACAGTAATATGCATGGACTCTTTGAAGTCCTTTCCCCTAGAGCCTTGTTAGCCTTGGCTATTGGAGGCCTTGGCCAAGGCCATCCATCCCATATTCTGCTGACCTGCGGTTATTTGGTGTGAATGGAAACAGAGGAGTTGGTTCCCTAGAACTGTTTGCAAAAACAAGTTGCTTTCTTCTCAAGCTGTGGATTCTATTAACTAACTGGAAGGGCCGTTATGTATTTGGCATCAGATACAGACTTGGCCTCCTCCTGCCCCTTCAAAATTTTGGAGGTAAAAATGTTCTACCCCCAGGGACTTCCAGGGCCAACCTGGAGGGACATCCATTGCAGCATGGATTTCCCAGGTCTGTTGTCCTTTCTCTTGGAAAATGTCATCTATTTATTGTCCCCATTGTTATGCTGGCAGATACACAACCAGTTAATCACTCTTTCTTTCCTTTGCTCCTGGCTCTAAAGGGAAACTCCAGGATGGCTCCATTTTTGTTTCAGACCAGAGTATGAGGATTCTTGAAGCTATAAGGGCCTTTCAACCTCACCTGAGAGAATTCTTCATCTCTACAGATGGAAAAACAAGACTGAGAAGGGAAGAACTTTGGCTAAGTACTCACAATGTTAGAACTGGAGCTAAACCTATCCGGGCCTCAGAAATTCAAGGAATTCTCAAACAACAAACAAACAAACAAATGGCCTCAAACATTGACAGTATTTATCAAAATTTTTCCCACCAGGTTGTTCTTCCAGATTCCCACTCTCATTCTCTCTCTTGCTTCCTTTATTATTCCTTATTTATTCCTAATTCTTCATCTTTGTTTCTTTTTCCAGAAACTTTTCTCAACCCCCTTGAATTTATCTTCAAAACCTAGCTTTGTGAAGTTCTGTGAAATAAATGGAAAGGAGAGAGTCTAGAGGATTGAATTATTGATCCCAATTCTTCATTCCTCTGTAACAGCATGAGCCTTCCACACCCCTGCTATGGCCTCATGGTAGCCACTACATGTTCCCATCTGAGACTTCGGGCTGCTGACTTATCATCAACAAGACATGACATCTATATCCTGCTTCTGTCACTGCCATGAGCACTTGGCCTGGGGGTCCACTGTCCCTTTAGCTTGGGCTGCAGAATGAGACAGAAAGAGCAGACCTGACCCAGACCTGCAGGTGAAAGCTAAGCCCAGCAGAGCTCAACAGAGCCCAACTAATGTCACAGGTGTGCCTGGAAATCTCTGGAAACAGACTCTGCCTCAGAAAGGAAAGTGGTATCTAACTATACACTTGAAATACCCACACTCTAAGATAAAGTAGGTTTCAATATTTATTCAGTCAGTCATTAATTAAGCCATTCAACAAATAATCATTGAGCACCAACTATGACACTATCCAAGCCTAAAGTTTATTAACTTTCTGCAGCTACACGTCAAGATTTGCCCATGAATGCATTTTTCAGAGGGATGTGTTTCTGGCTTTCTTCAACTACTCAAATAGGTCCTTAACCCCAACCAAATAAGTAAAGGCCCTTGGTTTAAGGGTTCACTTGGGATTTGGTTTATTTACCATAAAAGGTCAATACTGAATAGTAGTATTGCATAACTGCTCACCTATGAGTACAGAGTAAAGTAAAAGTTCTGCTTAAATAATTTGAATATTACTAGAAAGGCGGACCAGAAGGGTTGAATTTTAATATGCTAATTACTAAATCAGTGCATTAGTCATATGTAATGATCATCCATATCATTTGCAATTGACACTCTAACCACATAACTTGCATCCTAAAATTACAATAAAAATATTAAACATTTGTGAATACTATCTTAAATTTTACCTGATAGAACCTAACAATTTGTACTTTCAGAACTGTTTTCTCTTGTTACACTAGGGCAGGTCCCCAATGGTTCTGTTATAGCTGACTTTTTTCGTTTTCCTATATAATATGACTTTAAGACCCTTGACTACTCTGATTTCTATTCTATGCATTTCCTAGTTTGTCACTGATCCTCTTAAATATATCTGCCAAAGTTCACCAGATTCAAGTGCAAATGCTTACCTTCTGCTATAGACTGAATTATGTCCTCCTTGAAATTTATATCTTAAAGCTGTAACCCCCAGTGTGATGTGATTTAGAGATGGGACCTTTGGGAGATGATTAGGTTTATCTGAGGTTACGAGGTCAGGGACCCAATGATGCGGTTAGTGGCCTATCACAAGAAACACCAGAGAACTTGCCTACTCTCCTTCTCTACCATGTGGATAACACAGCAAGAAGGCAGCAGTCTATGCCAGGAAGGTAACTCTCGCCAGAAACTGACCATTTGGCACCTTAATGTGAGACCTCCAGCCTCCATAAGTATGAGAAAGTAAGTTTTTGTTGCCACAGCCACCCAATATTTTGTCATAGCAGCCTGAACAGCCCAGGACACCTCCCTTCCTGCTCTCCACACAGTGTCTGGCATGGTACTTGGTTTCCCTGGCATGACTGATAGACTGGCCCCTAAGATGCCTGCCTTAGGAGACCATTCTTGGTTTGCCCAGAATTGCCACAGTGCTGAGCCCAGCAGGCCCCAAATTTATGCCAGATTTTCTCACTCCTGGTCTGGATGCCTGGGCTTCCAGTGTCTGCCTATCCATGCCAGCCTTTGGGGAGCCAACGGCTTCTTGGGTAAGATACCACATGCATGAATAATATGACAAGTGTCTGAGTTGGCAGAACTTTTCCAAGGGTGAGGCCAAGTCTGGAAAATTTCCCACCTCCGTTCAGCTCCTGGAGGCCCAGCAAATTCACGTGGCCGTGTCTGGTGTGCTAGGACTCAGTGGTGGGAAGATTTAGAGACAGCTGGGATAATAGTCTCTGTAGCCACTGGGCAACTGTACCTTCAGATCCTTAGGTCTCCTTCAGGAAGAGCTGATGAGTGCCTGCTGTCACCCACACATGCCTTTTAGGTGCCTGGTGCCATCAGTAAGAACAGGTTAGAAGTTTGAGTGAGACTCTTCAAATCCCTCACCCCAAATATCGGGATCATGGTCATAAAAACGTTGTATAAGATTTTTGTGAGAATCAAATAAGGTGAAGAGTCACACACAGAAGCCAAGTAGGTGGAGCTGCTGTGCCTGGGCACTGCTCTCAGAACTGTCACTGTATTTAACAGAGCCCAGACAGCAGTAACACCTTTTTGAATAAGCCTACCCACCATCTCAGAGAGACCTAGGTTTCATCTTACTTAGGCTACAAGCATCCCCCGGAGGATACATCAGCAAGCCATAAGCCCACCTCTTCCCTGATCCAACCCTTCAAAAGCCCACCAAAAAACTTAGCCACTAAAAGCCTTTCAGCCTGTAAGAGACACCTTCTTTGGTCTGCTTGCCAGAACAGAAGAGGTTCCTCTTAGGTTTAGCAATAAACCTGCTTGAACTGTGGAGTTCACGTCCCTTCTTTTCCTTTTTAATACTGCTTCCTATAAAGCTGACAGCACCGTGAGACAGACTGTGTTATGTCCATTTCACAGATGAGGAAATGGAGGCTCAGGCAATTCATTGACCTGAATGAGTTCAAAAAGCTGGTGAATATGAAATTTCTTTCCCTGTTTAGTATATAGGGAGCACTTGATTTGTACTTAATGAAACAATAAAAGTACCAGGTCTTTGATTTAATTTAAACTGACCATTGTGCTTCATTGCTTAACTCTAAACTGTAGAGGGCTCTTCACCTGTGAGGAACTGTTCCTATCTGGTCATCAGATCTGACCCCCAAACTGGTTACCCTGTGAGTCGGGTCCCAGGACTTTACATCCTGTGCATTCACATCTTTTGTGGGCTACACATCTGGTACAGGTGTTTATATGGGCCCCAAATAAAGGAAATACTAGTACTGATACTATACTTGAGGGTATCATGCTGTGGGAAGTGGGGAGTGGGGTTTGAGGAAAATGATTTCCCAACAGAATATGTAATAATAGGCACTTGTCTGCTGAATTTACTGAATAAGTTTATCTGTGGAAGCCCTTTGCAAAGCATTTTGTACAATAAATTGCCCAAGCCTCAGATATATATGGCATTTTATTCTCATACAACATCATGATACAGAGATCTTTACTATCTCTTTTACAGGTAAGGGATATGAGAATATTAATTTAACAATGACTCCATGCAAGTTTCTGGTTTCTTGGAGAAAACAATCACAGTTAAGCCATGTTCTCTGACTTGAAGTCAAAATTCAGCTAAGTCCATGACATAGAGCCTGAATAAGGGCTCTGGACCTTGGGGGCCTTGAGTTCAGATCCTTCTCCGTCAGGGAGTTCTAACGAACCAGACAAAGAGGGTTGCCATCTCTGGGTGTCAGTTTATGTAAAAATGGTGATACGTATTGCACAAAAATAAAATGTGAGGTAGTTGTAAAGATTATATTAGATAATGTCTGTAAAGTACAATTTCTCTGACACAAATTAAACACTTTATGAATGTTCACCGTTAGCATTATCATGCACATGTAATAGAAAAATCAAAAACAAACTACAGACAGTGAGTGTTCTCAGAGCACTGAGAGGCTACTTCCTTCATACCATCATCCCAGGTCCTCAGGGGTACATCACTGTGGGGCTGCTGTTCTGCGTGAGGCCCTGGGGCTGAGCAGGGACCCACAGGGGTACATCACTGTGGGGCTGCTGTTCTGCATGAGGCCCTGGGGCTGAGCAGGGACCCACAGGGGTACATCACTGTGGGGCTGCTGCTCTGTTTGAGGCCCTGGGGCTGAGCAGAGACCAACAGATGGACAATGAGACTATGTCTCCTCTCCTACAGTGCTTACACTTTAAAAGCCAACATGTCAACATGAAATCCTGGCACCTTAAGTTTTTACTGACTACTGATTTGGAGGGCACAATAATATTACCTTATGTGTGTTGAGCGCTTTTACAGTTCTCAGCACTCTCCCACATGCATGATTTCACTCATGGGCTCCCTCACCAACCTAGGGAGTGCCCACCTCCTCCTCATGAGAAGAGTAATTTAGTAGTAATCCAATTCACTTGAGTGTTAAGTGGAAGACTCAGGACTCAAACTCTGGTCTGCTTGTCCCCAGTCCAGCGCATTGTCAGCTCCTAGAATGTGACAATGAAAGAGCTGCCTGGATTGGGGTGGGAATGTTATTCAGGGAACATTCCTCAGGAGAGGGGGCAGTGAGTCCCAGTGGCTACCCCTGCCACAGATGTATCCTGGTTGGCTGGCGGTCTTGCTGGGCAGTTACCCACTTCTGGGACCAATAAGAGTGGATGGCTCAGAGAGAGTCTTTTTTAATCTACTACAATGCATATGAAAAGCAAGTGATTCCAAACAAATCATTTTTTAAAAATTGATTTTGCAAGTATTGGATATCTTGTTCTGAAACAGTGAAAAACATCTTCATGGAGTGGAAAGAACAGGATTTGGAACCAGATAGATGTGGTTTCTAACACCAGGCTCAAGAGTAAATCAACTGTATGACTCTGAACAAACCATTAAACCATTCCCTCTTAGACACAGGGATAATAACACCTACCTGCAGGACTGCAGAGAGGATTAACTTACATGGTGTATTTAAGGTGCTGAGATCACAGTGGGCTCTAAAAAGTTTTTATCATTGCCTTTATATTAGTAAATTAATAAATTGCTGTTGTGAAAAAGACTTGCTTTCTAGATTCAGTGACCTTCACATGTAGTGCCTTCATGGTTATATCAGAGATTGGCAGGCAGTTAGCTTGATTCACAGCTTCAAAAGAAAAGCTATATTATCTGGTAGTAGAAGGGGAGAGAAACTCACTCCCAGGCCAGGCAAACATATGGTCAGTCAACACATGAGTAAAAGGGAAGCTAGGACAGTAAAGAGAAATTTTTAGATCTCTAGACCAAATAAGAGTATTCTGCAATGGAAGACATTCCTTGGGCAGCTGGGAATCATTTCCAAAGTAGGACATTTGTCACAGCTGTTTGGGCTTTGTGTATATAGTGCATTGTTAGGACACTGTTTTGCTATCACATTGGAGTGGTGGGATTTAAAAGATCATGTCACTCACAATGACTTTCAACAGGCTGTATCCTTCATATTTTTGTGTGCTTTGGACAGTGGATTTCAGACCTGGCCGCACTGCTGAATAGAGCTCTGGAGTTTCACAGGACCCTTATGCCATCTGAAAATATGAAGCAGAAAAGCCATCTAAGAGATTTTTTAAGTTGGAGTACATACAAGGAAGAAGGGAATTACAACAGAGAGCTGACATGCTGTATTAGGGAACGCGGGAGATGCTGTGAAGCTGACAGGAGGACAGTCTAAAGCAGTACTGGTGAACAAGGCACTATCCACTTTCCCAGAGGATTTGCCTCTAGGATGAGAATGAGATCATATTAAAACAACAGCCAAATGGAGGCAGCAGAAGGAGGGAGGTGGGGATGGAGACAACACCCTTGGATAAAAGAAGAGCATATGTAAAGCACGGAGACCAAAAAGAGCTTGGTATAGTCAAGGAACCGAGGAGAGATCATTCAGTACCAATGCACGGTGGCTGGTGGGAAATGGCAAAAGTTTAGCATGGTGAGAAAAAAAGGGTCTGGTGAACCATAAAGGGTCTGATATACCAAGCAAGACACTGGAT